ACGGCGGGTTCAGTCCGCGGGTTCGGGGGACTGATGGGGTACGGCGGCTGCGGGGTGCTGGGGTACGGCGGCTTGGGGAAGGGGGATCTCGAACTCGGCGAGAGCTCTGCGAGAGCTCGGACGGGGGCAGAGCGGTGGGCCCGTGGCGGGTGTCGGGGCGGTCACTGGCGGGTCTTCCCGACGGGCTCAGTACTCAGGCGCTGTCCCGTCCGCTGGAAGCAGTAGCGATGCCGGAGAGCAGGTCCGTGTTTGACGCCGCTCAGGACCCCGAGCTCCTGCACGGGCTGACCCTTGTCACCGGAGTTGCTGTGGATGCGGGTGCTGCCCAGCTGGCACCTGCGAGCCACGGTGCGTGGGGCTCCGCGGGAACGTTGGGGGGGAAGTTATTTGACTAAGCTCGTGTCCACACAGATTTGGTGTTCTGTCCCCAACTCAGCTTGGGTGATCACCCCGGAGCTTGGCCAAGGGAGCTGCCTGGTGGGTGGGTAAATGGGCTTTCTTTTGGTGACACCCCAAGGTCCCCAAAGCTCCTTCAACCATAGGTTTCTTTGGCTTGGCTGAGGAGGGACCGAGCAGGCTCCACTCTTTGCGGTGCAGCCGCAGGGCTGCCTGTGTAGAGCCCTTCCTTGTGCTTCCAGAGAAACCTGCAGCAGCCAGCTGTGAGGAGAAGGCCCATGGGGTCTCCGAGGTGCCAGAGAGGATGTGTTGCTTGACCTGCGGGCAGGTGTTTGGGAGCCGGGAGGAGCAGGTGAGAAGGACTGAGCAGTGTGGAGTGAGGCTGGCATGATTGGTGGGATCCTGCTGTGCATGGTGCAGCCCAGTGCTGTTTGCCCACTGTTTGCTCATGACCTATTGGGATCTGGCACTCAAACCTTGTATGTTATCAGTTAAAGGTATTATTTACTGGAAGTAAAGGGTAAGTGCAGCACAAGCCTGTACTTGTTGAGGTTAACTGTTTCATGGGTAACTCCTTAATATACTGTGATTTTCCAATCAGGACTGCTGAAGGAGCCCGGCATCAGTTTAATCCTTGGGGTCTGTCACCTCATGCCCTTTGGTGGTGATGGCTTTCATGGACCACCAAGATGCTGCCAGCTCATACTCCTTTTCTCCACAGACTGAGCACTACCGTCTTGACTGGCACCGCTTCAACCTGAAGCAGCGACTCCTGGGGCGCCAGACACTGCCTGTAGAGGTGTTTGAGGAGAAAACCCGCACAGGTTAGGAGATGGACTGTCTGCATTGGAGCCCAGGGGCTGTCAGCAACCTCACTGGGGTTCTTCTGTACAGGGGTGAAGTCCTCTGCTAGCACATGTTTTCCTTTATTCTTTCCCTGTGAGGTCTTCTCAGGACCCAGCACTGCTCCTGAGCTGTTAGGATTTGTTATAGGCAGAAGGGGGTGTTTTAACTGAACCCCTGCCTAAGCATGTCTGGGGATCCAGAGCTCCCAACTCCTATCTCCCCAGGTCACAGCCTGTTTGTGATATAAAGGGTTATTTGAAAGAACATTTCTGGGGTCATGGGCACTCTGCAAGTGCCCTTGATGTCACCTACAGAGTTTCGGGGAGGCTGTTTAATAATCCTGGCTTTGTTTCACTGCATCTTTTCCTTGCAGGTGATGTTTCCAGCATCTCAGGATCCGACTCTGATAGCTCTGATGTGAGCAGTGATTCAGAGTTGCTGCCCTCTGTCAGTGACACTCCCCCAACACCCCAGATTCCCCGCTCCCACAAAGTGCTATTCCGCAATGCAAAGGGCCAGCTCATCTCTGCGTACCGCTGCGTGCTGGTCACTGGGAAGGCAAGTCACAGCCCAGCTTTTTGGGAGAGGGAGTCCAGAAAAGGTGGGTGGCACTCAGGTGTGGATGTCTCTCTGACAGTCTCCAACCTCCTGTGATAGGAAGGGTGGACTCTGGTGCCAGGTCAGAGCCCCAGATTTGTTGGCGGCCTGTTATTTGGCTCTGGGGTGCTCCCAGAAACCTGTTTCCAGTGCTAGCAGAGAGGCTGGTCTCTGTCCTGGGGACAGCAAGAGGTAAAGAGGTAATGCCATGGGTGCTAGCAAGGCTGTCTGTGTATCAGGGTGACATTGAGGAGCCGGTGGAGCTGACAGCATCACTGCAGAACCTCAGTGCAAGCACATGCTGGGTTGTGCTGATGATGGGTGGCGGGCACTTCGCAGGAGCAGTGTTCCGGGGGTGAGTACAGGGGGACAGCGGGATTGTCCCTCTGGGCACAGCCAGCTGGAGCTGCTTTCGCATGTTAATGCCACACACACTAAGCTCTGTTGCTTGTGCCTGCCCCTCTGCACAGCCTGCAGGTACAGGAGCACAAGACCTTTCACCGCTACACGGTGCGAGCACGGCGGGGCACAGCCCAGGGCCTACGGGATGCCCAGACCCCAGGGTCAGCACCCAGATCGGCGGGGGCCTCCCTGCGCCGCTACAACGAGGCCGCGCTGCTCAAGGTGAGGATGCGCCACAGAACTGGGCTCCTGGCAGGGAGAGTGCTCCTGGCTGCCTCTGGCAGGTGGTACCACACTGCTGCTGGAGAGCATGGCAGGGGTGGTGGGCTCTGGAAAAGGGGCAGGGCCCAACTGAGGTTACTCTCTTCTGGATTTGTCCCTGCTCCAGAGCTACGTTTGCCCACATAGTGTGCTCAGAATCCCATAAAGCTTCTCCTTTCTCCCCAGGATATTCAGGACCTCCTGGCAGCCTGGGCACAGCACCTGAGCGAAGCTCAGCGCATCTTCCTCCGGGCCCCTCGTCACAACCGTGCACTGCTCTTCGGTGGCAGGAACCCACCCCTCACCCGAGGGGACCCTCGCATCTGCCACATTCCCCTCAGCACCCGCAGGGCCACCCTGCGAGAGGTGCTGCGAGTCCACGCCATGCTGGCCAGCCTGCAGGTGTACGGTGAGTTGGACCAGTCCAACTCTCCTTGTGGGTCGGGGCAGGTAGGGTGACGTGGTCCCTTGTACATTAGGGGATGCTGCCCTATGGGGTGGAGGTGCTAGCTCTTCAGCCCTCAGTCCCTGGAGACATGGGGTGCTCCCTGTCCTCAGGCAATGACGGGAGCACCCTTGTTGCCCAGGGAAGGACACACCTCTGGAGGACATCACTGGGTCCCCCCGGAAGGTCTGGCAGAAGAGGCAGCAAAAGGCAGAGGTGGATTCCCTTCAGAAGGACACAACTGGTGAGTTGAACCACGGAGAGAGACTGAGCAAGCAGGAAGGTCCTGATGTTATGGCATGGGCCAGATTTGCAGCTTCAGAGTGCGGCTGGACAGGAGAAAAACAGGGTGTTCTTGGCTGAGAGCCCCCAGTGATTAGTTCTGTGTGTGGAGCCTTAGCCCCAGTCTTATCACCCCCCCTCAGCCCCAGAGAAGGAGGAGGAAGAGGAGGAAGAAAGCCCTACAGGAGAACTGGAGACTGTAGAAGTGACACTGGGGACCTTGGACCTCCGAGAGTTTGAAGTGATGCCCAAGCGAAACCGCAAAAGGAGGAAGAAGAGGGACAAGAAGGTGGAGAAAGGTGAGGGGAAGAACTGTCAGGGGCAGTGTAAGAAGGCCATGGCTGGGATGCAGGCTCACTCTGACCCTCTTCCTCACCTGTTGCCTGTGCAGGGCCTTGTGCTAAAGAGACTGGATACCAGTGTGGGCAGCCTGACTTGGAGCCAGTGACAGAGCTTCACGGGGAGGCTGAGGCTGGGCTCCTTCTCTGGAGCAACAGAGGTAAGTGTGTTTGTTGGATGCTTGCCCCATTTACTGGTGGCTTTTCAGTGGGGTGAAGAGCACATTGTCATGTAGATGCCCAGAACAGCTGTGTCTGACAAGTCTTTAGTGCAGTCAGGTGCCTTTGAGTGAGCTGTGTGTTTGGAGCCAAGGAGGCCAGGCAGCACCTGGCTAAGCCAGGTGTGTTGGGGGGATTAGAGTGGGTCTTACTTCAGGAGACTTGTTTGCTGACAACAGTGCCTAGCAATGCCATACCACGTGGCCACAGACTCTGAAGGTGCTGGAGATCCTGCAGTGCCCAAATCCAGCTAACAAGCTGATGCCTTGTGTCTGTTCCCTAGTCAGACCAGAGTGCTGCTCTGCCCAGACTGCCCACCGGACACCCCTCCTGTTCTTCCCTCACAGGAGACCCTCAGACCCAGCTCTGTGATGCTCTGTTCACTGCCTGCAAGACAGGGGATGTGCAGACACTGCGGCACCTCCTGGGTGTGCCAGAGAATGGGGGCCTGCCAGGGCCCAGTGAGGATGGGGAGTCTCTGGATGTGGCCCGCTCCCTGCTGAACCAGCCCGTGGACGAGCACGGCTGCACCCTGCTCCACGTGGCAGCACAGGCTGGCAGGGCTGAGGCTGTGTGTCTGCTGCTGGAGGCAGGGGCAGACCCTGCCCTCAGGTATGGCTGCAGGGCACCAGTGGTTCACAACCCCTGCAGTGGGAGTCTAGCAACTCACTCCTGTCTCAGCCACAGGAAACTGGTGCCACTCTTGTCCTGGGACAGCCAGTATTGGTCTCTGTAACCCAGGATGTCTTGGGTTTTTGGGGGAGGCCTAGGACCTGAACCACCCTCCTCTCTGCCTGCCTGGTCTGGCATGGAAGCAGGTGGGCAGTGCCCCAAAGTGCACCCAGGTATATTGGTAGGCAGTTCCTAGGGCCAGGATGAGACAAAAGCCACATGCAGGGGCTTTGACAGGCAAGAAAAACTTGGAGGATTTGGAGGACTCTGGTATTAGATTAAGGAACTTTCCCCTCCTTGGCTGTGATACTGTGGTCTGCAGTACACACTGCTCATCTCTGGGGGGTCTATGGGCTCACAACCCAGTGGGATGCAAACAGTAAGATGGCAGTGTGAGCGAGCTGGTCTCCCTCATCTCACAGGGACAGGCAGGAGAGGACCCCATACTGCGTCTCTGCTGACAGACGGACCCGCAATGCCTTCCGCAAGTTCATGGTGGAGCATCCAGACAAATACGACTACAGCCGTGCCAAGGTGGGTGCCTGCCCCCTGCCCTCCCTGGAAGGGGGACCCCAGGGCAAAGCTCTCCTTTCCCACTTGTGCATTGCCCCAGGCTCAGTGGGAGATGCTGTCTGCCCTCAGGTGCCCGGGCCCCTGACACAGGAGATGGAGGCCAAGAAACTGGAGAAGAAGCGGGCACAGAAAGCCCAGCGGAAGCAACGGGAGCAAGCACAGCAGGAGGAGCAGCACCGCTGGGAGCAGGAGCAGGAAAAGAAGAAGTGGTTTGCAGCTCTGTCTGACAGGGAGAAGGTGAGGATTGTGAAGGGGATCCAACCCAGATAGGGCAGTGCTGATGTGGTGGGCTCTAGGCACAGCAACTCCCAGGGGCTGAGCTGTCTCTCTTCCCAGAGGGCACTGGCTGCTGAGCGGAGGTTGGCTGCACAGCTGCAGGACACAAGCACGACTCTTGCCAACATCAGGTAACCATTCCAGCAGCATGGCTCTGAAGACAAATTCTCCCATGTCAGTACAGTTGTTCCCTACCCTTTCTTGCTCCAGTTCTCATTTCCAGTCCAAAGCTATTCCTGACCACTCAATTCCCAGTAGTGCTTGTGTAAAAGTTTCCTCCCTCTCTTGCCCTGCTCCCCTAAAATACTTTGCTCAGGATGACTAGGTCCACTTGCAGCCAGATCTACAGCAAGCCAATGCCCCAGCCACTCCTGTTTACTTTCCTCTGCCACCCCACCAGGTTTGTTGGCAGCCAACACTCCTCATGCTTATCTGGGCAGGGTTTTAAAACCTTTATAGGGCCAAGCCCCCCTACATGTTCATTCTGCCTCAAAATACCTCACATCACACTCCAACAGAGCATCTCCCCCAGGGAATATGGACTGGCCACACCATTGGGTGAGCACATCAGCCCCGTGAGACTAGAGGAGCCCCAGCTCCCTTGTGCTGCTGGTGGCTTGTGTCACAGTCCAGGCAGAGAATCATTTCCTTTTCTGACTCTTTTGCAAGTGTCCCCTGTGCTCAGGGCCAGCTCTGCTCTTTCCTGCAGCCGCTGCTGGCTTTGTGGAGAGTCCCTGTTGGGACGGATCCCTTTCCACTACCTCGACTTCTCCTTCTGTTCCACGACCTGCCTGCAAACCCACCGCCGGGCCCAGGCTGGCCGCACCTAACGCTGGAGGCTGCTGCCACCTGCCAAGGACCAGTGTGGTGGGGACATGGCTGAGCACTGGCCGTGCAGCAAGGGAGAACCTGCAGCAGGGAGCAGCAATGAACCTGGAGCAGCAGTGGTCCGAGGGACTGAGCTGGCCATATCACTCTCCAGGAAAGCTCTGGCAAGGCTCTGGGCATGAATATCACTCTGGGTGGAGACTCTAGCAAAGTTAATAACAGATGTGTCCATGCACTAGTGTGAGAGGCTGGGACTAGTCCATGTACTAGTGTGGTGGCCTGGCTTCAGCCAGGGGTCCTGCTGCCAGCTTTTCTCATGGCTACCTCATAGGTTGCTAGTCTGTAGGTGTAAGGACAGATCCTGACACATACAGACCGTGCAGCCCCGAGCTACCTGCAGCCACGCCTATGGACACCATCAAGGCTGTGCTTTTACCTCTCCTCTCCTGGCTGCCACCAGCATCTCAGCCATCATGTTAGCAACTACTTCCTCCGCCTGCATTGTCAATAAAGAGGTGCCTTGACCCCCTGGCCATGGGGGAATCAGCATGGTCACTGGAACTATTTGGGATGAGTGTGGCATTGACATGTAAATCAAGCTCAAGCCTGGGTCCTTTACTCATTAGCACGGGCCCTGCCTGTCCCCAGAGGTCTGTGCCAGGACCTGTACCACTTTCCTTAGCCCCTGTGCTTCATCAGCCCCCTGCCATCTCCCCAGCCCCAGTGAGAGGCAAGGCTGGTGCCCAGCAGTGTTTAATCTGTGGCCGTGGTGCTGCAGCCAAGTGTCCTGTTGTAAAGGGGTCGGTCAAGGAAGAGCAAGAGAGGAGTGGGAGGTGCCCCTTCTAGCTCCAGCACGGTAATGTTGTTGGGGCGGCCAGCGTGCAGCACCGAGCCAGGCACAAAGAGGGTCTGCTGGGGCCCACGACAGGTCCAGTACCGGCCCAAGTTGAAGCCATTTATCCACAGCAGTCCCTGGAAGATGATGAAGATGGGAATGAGCTGTGTCCTGGTCCACTCTTACCCCTTTTCCAGTTATGCATTGGCTTACCTTGCTCCAACCTGGGAACTTCACAAAGGTGTCCCAGGCAATGCCAGGTGTCTCAAAGGTCCCAGTGTAGAAGGCTGGCCCCACTTGGCCCTCACTGCTTGATTTTGGCAGAGCAGCGTGAGGCCAGCCCTGTTGGACTGCGGTGTCTATGGCCAGGGGATAGATCAGCCAGTTGCTGAGAGGCCTGGAGTTCAAGGAGAGGTTTCCCAGCAAGCCCTGAGATGGAACAGGAGAGGAAATGAAGCAGCAGTATATGCCACAGTCAGGACACTCGGCAACCCCAGGGTGTGTCCCCCTGGCAGCAGTGAAGGTGGGATGGGATCTCCTCCAAGGAGTGAAGGGCCCTGGCAGCTGTGGCAGCATAAGTAGGAGAGGAGTGCTAGTCTCTAAGCCCTGTCTGGGAGGTTTGAGAGGAACCAGGGAGCAGGACTGGGATTAGCCCCACCAAGGCTGGACTCTATCTCAGGTGGCAGTAGAGAGGGGCTGTTTGGTCTCATGGGTTGCCTGGCCATCCCCTCTGGAGCCTCAGGGCCCTCTCCCCTTACCTTGAAGTCACTGGCATTGGCCCCGAAGCTGATCCTGCCCATGTTCTCCATGAGTATGTCCAGGGTGTCCCCCGCTCTGCCCGTTACATGCAGTGGTGTCTGCCCGTCCCGTTCCAGCGTTCCCTGGTACTCCTAAAGCCACAAAGTCAGTGCTGCTGGCCCATGTTCAGATCCCACTACCCCCAACACTGCCAGCAAGCACACAGCATCCTGCTGCCAGTCCGCCAGAGCCAGGGCTGCTCTCTGCCCTGAGGGGAAACAAATTTGGGCCCAAGAGCCACCCCGCAAAGGCTCAGTATGGCTTTTAGCACACTGGCTATCCCCAAGACCCTGGCATGGCACAGCCCCACTGCCAGCAGGTCCCACAGCCCTCTGGAGCACTGTCCCAGGGACTGGTGTCCTCCCACAGCCTCACCTTCTGCAGCATCACGTAGCCACGGTCACAGATGCTGTGGGGAGGAGCACCCAGTGTGGCTGGGTCTGGGACATCCCAGGGCAGCTGTGTGTGGTACAGCACAAAGCCATGGACCTGCAGGACACGGTGCAGTGGCACAGGAAGGAAATAGAGCTGAAAATGAGCTCTGCTCCTCTGCCCCAGAGCCAGGGCCAGGCAGACAGGAGCATCTCCTCAAGTGTCCACCACTACACCCAGCCTCTCACCTGTTTTAGGGCCTCAAAGGTGAGAGGGAACTGGCTCTGGATGGGCCCAGAGGGGCACAGCACATCCAAGACATCCAGGAGGTCAGCATGCTGCAGAGAGGGATGGGTGCTGGGCAGTTGAAGTGCCACCATGGGGCAGTGCAGCCTTCGGGACAGGCACTCACCTTCCGCAGGGCCACCCAGCCATAGGCATACTTGGGGGTGGCAGGTGGCATCGGACCAACTGGCAGGGGCTGGAACTGAACGGCAGACTGTCAGCTGCCCCATGGCAAGCAGGGAGATGTCCCTTGCCCTGCTGGTACACAAACAGCAGTGCCCAGTACTGCCCCCTCATTCCTGCCAGGTTTGTTACCTTGCTGATGACCGTGCGAATGGCAAACAGCTTCTCGGTGGGGTCTCCTGCCTCCGAGAGGGGGGCATCATAGTCATAGCTGGTGGTCACTGGTTTGTACTGGCCCTTGTAGTCAGCACCTGGCCACGGAAGTGGTGTGAGCTGGAGGAAGGGGCTGTGGCACAGCCCAGGGCAGGAAACCCAGCCCCAAACTGGCTGCAGTGCAATGTGGGGGGCATGACCCAGAACTGTGAGCCCCTGCATAGGCACAAAAGGAGTCCCCAGGAGAAGACAAGCTTGGGTTCCAGGGCCCTTGGCTATGTGTCAACCTGCCCCATAGGACAGAACAAGACCCTGAAGCAGGGTTCTCAGGGATGGCCAAGGAAAGCCCCCCAGCCCTGCAGTGTGCCCCTCCCTTCTTAGACCAAGGCTCTACTCACCGCTCCAGTAGGCAAAATTCGTCCCTCCATGGAACATGTACCTGTGATACACCCCAGAGAGCCTGGTCAGCAACCCCACAGACCCAGCAGGGGCTCACCAGGCACTGCCCCTCCCCTCCAGCACCCACAGTCCCTGCTGGCCTGATCCCAGTGGGATGAAGGCAAGAGGTGATGCCCACTCCCCTGGTGGCTGTGCCCTCTGCCAGCTGACTACTTACATGTTGATGTTGGCTCCCAACTGCAGCATGTCCTCCAGCCCCCGGGCCACCCACGCTGCGCTGGTGCTGGCATGTGCCTCGCCCCAGTAGTCCAGCCAACCCGTGTAGTACTCAGAGTTTACCTGGAGGACAAAGAGACTGTCACCTGCAGCCTGGGCCCAGCACCCCTTCTTGCCTCACTGTCTGGAGCCTCTGCCTCCCCAAAACCGTCGTGGGTCATTCCCCCACAGCATCCAGGCCAAGCTCACCAGGGGCCCCTTGGGTTCCACGCGGCGCTGTGCACCAAATGCCTCTGTGACATTGGATCCTGTGGAGGTAGAGAAAGGGAGGTTTGAGCAGGACAGAGAAGGGACCCACATGCTCTCTCTCCTCCTCCTCCTCCTTCATAGGGATACCTGGCCCAAAGTCGACGGTGGCGTAGAGCCCCTGCAGCGTGCCACAGCGCAGCTCCTCCGCTCGCGTGCTGTCGGTGGTGAAGAGCAGCACCTCGCTGCCCAGCAGTGCCCGAAAGGAGCCCAGCAGGTGCCGTAGGTATCCAGAGTCACAGGCATAGTAGCTCCCATATTCATTTTCCACCTGCAAGCAGCGCAGGGACTGGTATGCAGTATGCACATGGCAGGGCTGCAGACAGGTCCCACTGCCCACTGGGAAGAGCACCAACCTCCCCCCTTCCCCCTGGACATCATCAGATGTCTTGACAACCCCCAGGGGGGTCCTGAGTATGACTTTCCAGTCCCACCGTGAGCTCCAGTTCTGTCAGTGTCCCTCAAACCACAGCTGTGGTGATGGCAGGTACCTCAGATTCCCAGCCCTTGGACTTAAATCTATGTCCAGAAGTTGGGAGAGATTGATCTGAGCTTTGCTGGGTAAGGTCATTGTGTAGGGGATACTGGTGGCTTTTTGGGGCACATCCAAAGACAACCCAGAGCAGGGCACAGGGCTGGGCCTCACAGCACCTCACCTGCACACTGATGACGTTCCCTCCCTGGTGGTACAGGCGTGGCTTGATCTTGGGCAGCAGGACATGGAGCCAGGAGTCCACAGCTGCCAGGTAGACTGGAGGCACAGAGGCAGGGCAGGAGCTGGCTGCAGCATCCACCTCAGCCCACCTGCAGCCAGCCTGCCAGGAGGAAGACACAGCAGAATGGGGCAGGGTGAAGTGTGATGGGGAAGTGGAGATGGAGTACAAACTATGGGGCTCTCAAAGGATGGAAAAGATGATGGGAAAGACCACAGAGGCACAGCTGGCAGATATGTGGAGACAATGCCAGGACTGGCACCAGGCTGTAAGGATATGGTGGCCAGAGCCATGTGCTGATCCTCACCAGGGTCAGAAGTGCGCAGGATGATGTCTGGTTTCCACAGCAGCCAGGCAGGCAAGCCACCCTGGAGAAACATACACAGCAGAGAGGGAGGCAGAGAAACTGCTTAGCAGCCTGGGCCTGCACACGGCTGAAATCGGCCAGTGCAATGCTAGTGCTTGGCACCAGCACGGCCTGTGGCCTGTGGGGCAGCAGCCTGGCACAGCAGGCACAGCACTGGAGTCAGCGTGACAGCCAGAAGGGCCAACCCTGCTGTGCCCTTCCCAGAGCACCCTCTGTGCCAGGCCAGGGGCCGGGGCTCACCATCTCCCACTCTGCACAGATGTAGGGCCCTGGCCGCAGGATCACCAGAAGTCCCAGCTCAGCTGTCAGGTCTAGAAAGGCTTCCACATCCCGGTTCCCAGTGAAGTCATAAACTCCTGGCAGTGTCTCATGGTAGTTCCAGGGGACATAGCTGTAGTGAGAGGGGAGATCAGCATGCAGGGGCTAAGGACACCCCAGCATGACAGGGAACCATCCCACCAGCTGGTCCCTCTGCTTCTGGGAGCTGGCCTGCAGCCTGAGCTGAGTATGGCAACTCGGGCTGGACTGGAACTAGACCACACTCATGCTTGTGTCTGGCCGGGGTGAGCAGGGCGGGGGGTCACAGCCAAGTGCAAGTGTTGGACCTTGCTCCCTGTGGTCAGACAACACCCCTGTCTCTGTTCCTACTGATCCCAGAAGCCCCGTGGTGGCTGTGGGCTATGCACCATCAGGGCTGTGGCCATGGCTTACACCTGCACAGTGCTGAGCCCGCTCATGTACATCTTGAGCAGCCGGTCCCTCCAGGCAGGGCGTGGGACACGGGCATAGTGGATGCTGCCCGAGATGTAGCGGAAAGGGGCACCGTCCTTGCGGAAGCAGTTGTGTTCGTAATCCAGCTGGAAGGAGCGTGCCAAAGGGGAAGCCTGCAGGTAAAGGGAAGAGCTGGAGGCCTTCAGAACCTCCCCAAGCCCAGCTGCCCCCTCCTGTGCTTCCTGGGACAGACAGTGATGGGGCTGGTTCTTGGAGAAGCCCTCGCCCGAAGTGGGTGCCAAACTGTCCTGGGAGAGCAGGAGGGAGGAGCTGAGCCTCCCCGCTAATCAAACACCCGGCGGCTGAGCTGGTGGCATTTGTGGGGACGGTGCTGCTGGGGTGGCAGGGAGCAGGCAAGGAGCTGGGAATGCAAGCTGGGACATTGTGGCAGGACACGGGCTGCTGCAGGAGGGAGCTATCGCCCGACGAGCAGGGAGACGCACCGGGAAGGCAGATTCGGAACGCGTCCCACCCGCTCCTTCACAGCTCAGGCCTATGCGCTTCCCCAGACTTTCCACCCTTGTTTGCTGACCTGCGTGTGCAGGAGCCCCGCTGCCAGCAGCAGGGCGAGGGCCGGCAGTCCCATGCTCGCCGGGCGCTCGGCAGGCCCGGGATGGGGGACGGGGCTGGACGTGGCCACCACCATCACATGAGCCGGGAAGGCTCTCGGCCAGCGCTTCCTTCTCCCGCTCCCAAGAGCGGCCAGCTGGAACAGCTGGGGCGGGACCATGGGAAAGGGGTGGGCGGCTCCGACCCTCCGCGTCCGGCCAGCCGCATCAGCCCCCGCAAAGCCCACCCCAGCGGGGATGCAGGCGGCACAACGCCGCCCGAGCCAGCTCCGGCCGGCGGGCACACCTGTGGTGCCCAGCGGGGTGGGGGTGACAGTCAAGGTGAGGGGACAAGGAGCCTCCTGAAAGTGTCTCCACTTTCCTTCCATTGAACTCAGCCCGCTGGTTCCATCAGAGGTGGGCATGGAAAGCTCGGCTGTAGCTCTGATCGGAGGGCTGCTGCGGCTGCTGCTGGTGAGGGAAAGGAAAACGTCCCCGAGGCGAGGGCTCGAGCTGGTGGCAGAGCTGGTGACAGGGCTGTGGGGAGGTGCTGCAGGGCAGGACGCGCCGCCGCAAGGAGGAGGGGCCGCGGCGGCCCCGGGCAGCGGGAGGCGGCGGCGCCCCGCCCGCGGGTGACGCGGCGGTGACTCGCGGTGACTCGCGGTGACGCGGCACCGGGCGATGACGCGGACGGGCGATGGGGCAGACGCTGTGCGTCTGCTCCCGCGGCACCGTCAGCCTGGGGGGAGCGCGGTACCTCCTGCTCCACCGCCTGGCAGAGGGGTGCGCGGCGGGCTGCGGCGCGGGGGGCTCGGGCGGGGGGTCCCCGTGCTCCGGCGGGGATGCTCGAGCAAGGAGGGGTCCTCGGGCCGGGGCCGTGCTCGGGCGTGGGGGGATGCTTGGGCGTGCTTGTGTATGCGGGATGCTCGGGCATGGAGGTGCGCGGGCCTGGGAGTGCTTGTACGGGAGCTCGGGCACGGGGATGCTTGTGCATGGGAGATGATTTGGCATTGGGGTGATGCTCAGGAGTGGGAGATGCTTAGGCATGGGGGATGGTTGTGCATGAGGACATGCTTGGGCATGGGGTGACGGGCACGGGATGTTCAGGCAGGGTGGGGAGATGCTTGAGGTCAGATCAGCTTGGGGAAGTACTTGGGCTTGGCGAGGAATGATGCTTCAGCGTAAGGGGTGCTTGTGCATGACAGATGATTCTCCTGATGAGTGACTGGGGGGGTTGGTCATTCTCAGAAGTGGGTGCTTAGAGCCATGGGAATGGGGACAATTGAGCCAGTGGGGTTTTTCATACAGAGAGGGAATGCTTTGGGTTCCTCACAGGTGCCTGCAAGACGGAGAGATACACATACGTGGGGAATTCCTGCCGCCCTCTGTCCTCCTCCCCTGGGTGCCCGTAGATGAGACTGGGCACAGGGCCCCAGCATGGATGTCACAGCCCTCAGCCCATGCTATTCTTGACTCCTTGCAGGGGTTTCAGCTATGTGGACCTGGTGGAGGGGCTGCGGGATGGGCGCTTCTACGCCCTGAAGCGCATCCTGTGCCACGACAAGGAAGACCGCCAGGCTGCCCTGCACGAGGTGGAGATGCACGGCCTCTTCGACCACCCCAACATCCTGCGCCTGGTGGCCCATTGCATGGTGGAGAAGGGCACCAAGCACGAAGCCTGGCTTCTCCTGCCCTATGTGAAGGTGAGGGGGGCTTTCCTGGCTGCCCTGCCACCCCAGGAGCAGCAGTGGTGACCAGCTGCTTGTATTTGCCAGGGGGGAACCCTCTGGAGAGAGGTGGAAGCACTGCGAGAGAAAGGCACCTTCATGCCAGAGCAGCGGATCCTCCTCATCCTCCATGGGATCTGCCGTGGGCTGCAAGCCATCCACAGCAAGGGCTATGCACACAGGTGAGGGGGTGGCAGCACTGGCTGGGGGGATTGGCAGGGGCCCCAGTGGGCATTCAGTGATGTCCATTCCCACAGGGACCTCAAGCCCACCAATGTGCTGCTGGATGAGGATGACCAGCCTGTGCTAATGGACCTGGGCTCCATGAACAAAGCTCGCATCCAAGTCAACAGCTCTCGGGAGGCCATGGCTGTGCAGGTGGGTGGCCTGGGATGTCACCCCATGAGCCTGTCCCTACCCCAGTCCCTTCATCCCCATCCTCTTTGCAGGACTGGGCTGCCCAGCGCTGCACCATCTCCTACCGTGCCCCTGAGCTCTTCACAGTGCCGAGCCAGTGTGTCATAGATGAGCGTACGGATATCTGGGTAAGGATCCAGCCCTCTGGCCTCCCCCATCCCACTGCCACAGGGCTGCACTGACACCACCACGCTCCAGTCCTTAGGCTGTGTGCTGTACTGCATGATGTTTGGAGAGGGCCCCTATGATGCCATCTTCCAGAAGGGTGACAGTGTGGCTCTGGCGGTTCAGAACCCCCTCACGTTGCCTTCCACAACCAGGTGAGGGGCTGGGGAGGGTGACCCCATTCTTGGGTGGCCCCCTGTCCTGTGCACCGCATGGGTCCTCCCCTCGCCGTCTTTCTTCCAGATACTCACCTGCCTTGCAACGCCTGCTCTTCTCCATGATGACAGTGAACCCCCAGGAGAGACCCAGCATAAATGAAATCCTACACCAACTGGAAGGGCTGCAGCCGGCACCAGCAGGACAGGACACCACACAGATCTGAGCCCATCTCCTTCCAGTGGTGACACGTCGTGAGGCTGAATCAGGGGAAAAGCAGCTACCCTAATCCCTGCTGCCCTGCAGACCTGTTGCAGAGGGGATTGATGCCCTGGAGGAGAGCTGCTGCTCTGTGCTGGAGGTGTGTTGGATTTGGAGTGTTCTGTACCCTGGATGCTGCTGCCTGGGCCTTGGTCTGTGCCCCTGAGCTGTGGAGATGTGATCTGCTGCTAAACATGGGTCCCTTGCCACCTTCCCTGGGGGTGGTAGAAGGGGATGTTGTGGGACCCCTCCTGGGCATGGGAGCCACTGTCCTGCAGCCCTGTGCCCCAGGAAGGTTGCTGCTGCCCGGAGCAGAGCTGCGGGCCGGATTACGGTGCTGTGCTGGAGGGAGGCAGAGGGAGTGCCCACTCTGCCATTGCTCTTGGCACCGTTGTTGCCTTGTGCTTGAAGTAAAGTACATTCTTGCAGAGCTGTGGCTGTGTCTCTATCTGCAGGGAGGGTTTCTGCCGGGGCATGGGAAGAGCAGGGCACACTGTTTGGGTTAAGCAGGCAAGCGTTGCTGGAGGTGAAGGGCAGCAGAGGCCAGCTGGGGCAGCATAGCCAGAGCATTAGCAGTAAGCAGGGAAAGTTAATCCCTGGCCCCAGAACACTCCTATTGGGAGCTAACACAACTGTGCAGCTGGAGCCAGACACTGCTGCTCAGAGCCTCTGGAGCTGGGCACTGCAGGACAGGGATCAGCAGAGGCAGGCAGGCAGTGGCAGCAGAACAGGCAGAACTTCTCTGCTATCCGTGAAGAGGGAGGTTGATGCCCAGACTGGAAAGCTGCCAGACCTTGGGAGGCAGGGGCAGCAGCTCTGCTCTGGTGGGGATATGCAGAGCATGGGGACAGCACAATCACCCCAGCACTGAGGACACCCCCAGCCCAGGGGGGAGCCTTGGCTGGAGGGGCTCACTGGGGCTCCAGCAGGTGCTGCTGACTGAGAGGGGGTAAAAAACGAGATGCAGACAAACAGTTTCACAGGGAGCATTCCCCTCCTTTAATCCTCTCACCGCACACAGCAGTACAGCAGCCGCAGGGGTTCGTGCCATGCTGGGTGCCATTGCAGGGTGCACCCACTGCACCAGAGAGCCCGGCATACTCCTTGCCCTGCATGCTGACCACAGGGGCAGGGCTGCCATATTGCTCTCACTGCTTCAACCACTATCTTTCCAGGCGAGCCCACCTACCCCTGGGCTGCACATGAGGAGAATACCCAAAAGCTGCCATTCTTGCTCAGACTAAAACTGCTCTCCTGAGCTCCAGGATACAACACAGGGCCATATATCACATAAGGAAGCGGTACACACCCCTGGCTGGAACAACGAATGAGGTGGGATGTGTGCCATGGCACCAGGGACTAGACCCCAGGGCTCTTACCTGCACAAGTAGCAAGCTGGAGCTGGAGTAGAGCACTGGGAGGAAGCATAGCAGCACCAGTAGCAGGGCTGAAGCACTCACCACACACCTGACCTGGCAAGAAACCGATACAGCTGGGAGGATACTGGGA